CAGCAGCACCAGCCAGGCCCCCCCCAAGCGCTGCCTCACCGCCTCATTCAGCCGCTCTGCCACGTGCATGCGCCACAAGTTCCCCCTCCCCAGCAACCACCAGTGCACACCAGTATGCACCAGTGCCCCCCCAACATCCCACCCTGCCTCCCAGCACTGCCCCCCACCTCCCAATACAGCCCGCAGCCCCAAATCCCTCCCTCCCAGTATAAACCAGTGCCTCCCAGAGAGTCCTAGTATGGCCCAGACCTTCCCCGTGACTTCCAGCATGGCCCACAGCCTCACACCAGTACGGTCCAGTGCCCTCCCCATGACTCCCAGTATGATCCACAGCCCCCCAGTGCCTCCCAGTATGGCCCAGAGCACCATCCCAGTGCCTCCCAGTCCCCTCAGTGGCGCACACAGGCTGGGGCCCCAGTGGGGGGGCTGCCTTCCTCCTCCTCCCCCACACTGGGGGCCTGCGACAAGGTGGGGCCTCCTTGTGACATCATTGGCAGTCCCATGCGATGTCACACCTCATGAGATCATCCCTGCTGTGGCATGTCATCGTGTGTCAACATGTATCGTGTCACCATGTATCGTGTCCCGCCTCCCCACCGGGTGTCTAAACCTGGGGCACCGGGCCCCAGGTGCCTGCCCCCTCCCCAGGTGTGATGTCATGCAATGTTGTGTGATGCCACACCCCATGACATCACCCCTGCTGCAGTGTGTCATCCTGTGTCGCCGTGTGTCCCTGGGGATGGGGCCATTTGGCAACCCTGGGTCCCCACCTCTCCCAGGTGTGATGTCACGTGATGTCGTGTGATGTCACCTGTGCCTGCTGCATGTGGCGCAGCATTTGGGAGCGCTGCTCCAGCATCAGTGTCTGCTCATAGGTGTACGCTGAGACGTCGCTGTTGTGCTGCAGGAGGGGACCCAGGTGTTTGGTGGGGAACCCAGGCATCCAGGATAGGGGACCCAGGCGTCCGGGTCTCCCCAGCTCGACGACACGGGTCGGGGCGGGCAGCCCCCTCCGGCAGGCGACGGCCTCCAGCAGCCGCCGCGGGTGCACGCTGTTGTCCTCCGGCAGCACCGCTGCGAACAGCTGCACCCAGCACCCCCCGCCAGGCCTGGGGTGCCCCACGGACAGCCTCAGCAGGGGCAACCCATGGTGCCCCAGTGACCCATAGCGCACGTCCCACTGCACCCTGGAGTCCCCCCAGCACCCACCCCTGCCTCCCAGCACCCCCCAGC